CTCCTGCTCCTGATCATGCTCCTCCTCTTCCTCCTCCTCCTTCTTCTCCTCCTCCTCCTCCTCCTCCTCCTCCTCCTCCTCCTTCTCCTTCTCCTCCTCCTCGTCCTCCTCCACCTCCTCCTCCTCTTAAGTACCCATCTTGGCTCACGGTCGCGCGCTCGCAGGGCCCGCCGCCGCGCGTCCAGATGCCGGGTGCGAAGGACCCCCGCACGGCGCACGCGCTGGAGGCTTCCAGGGGGGCCGTCCTGGCGGTCCACGCCGCTGCCGGGCTCGCCACCGCGGGAGGGCTGCGCTCCGCGGCGCGGCTCCTGCGGGCGGCGGAGGGGCTCCTCCGCACGGCGGTCGCCGAGCTCGGCACGCCGCCCGCTTCCCCCGCCGTCGACCACGCGGGCCCCCCGATGGTGCCGCGGCGCCGATGCCCGCGCGGCCGCGGAGGTCTGAAGGAGGCGGACGAGCAGTACGAGAAGATGGATGTCGTGGAGGAGAAGTCCCTGGAGGAGGAGGTGGCCATCGTCGCGGGGATGGATGGCGGTGCGGCTGCAGGGGCGGCGGCGGCGTGGGGGGCCGTCGGCGTTTCCATGGAGTTGCCGTCCGACGAGTGGGCGGATGCCTTGCCTATCGTGCGTGGGCGTCCTCGCCGCGCGGGCGGCTTTGGCTCAGGCAAGGGCAAGGGCAAGGGCGAGGTCACGGGCGGCGCGGGCAAGGACAAGAGCGATGCGCGTGTTCAGCTCGCGCAGCGCGCCGCCGACCTCTCGAGTCTCCTGGGCCACCGCATCACGGATCACGCGCCACTCAGTGACGCCGAGCTGCGCACCATGGTCGAGTTCATGGGGCGGGAGCTGGTTGCGCGTGGCGGCGGGCTTGCTCTGGGAAGCCGTGGCCCTCCTCCTCCTCACGGCTGAGGCGCTCGCGGCAGGCGGTGCTGGGAGCCCGCGGGCGCCCGTGTGGTGCGAGCTGTACCCCCCCTCGTTGCTGCTCGCCGTCTCGGAGGGGGTGCTCGCGTTGCTCGCGGTGCTGTTGTTCGCGGAGCTCGTGGCGCTCGGGGTCCGACTCTGAGTGTGAATGGTTGAGTCCCCCCAAAAATCCTCCTCTTCCTCCTCCTCCTCCTCCTCCTCCTCCTCCTCTTCCTCCCCTCTTCCCGGCCCCTTCTCTTCTGCGCGCCCGGTGCTGGGCTCCTCCTCCCCCCCCCGTAGCGGCGCGCACGGGGGAGTGGTCGCCAGGGTTTGGTATCCTTCTGAGGCGGCGGGGCTCCTTGGAAGGCAGTGGCCCTCCTGGGGGGGGTCAGGGGGAAGGCTCGAACAAAAACTAAATAATAGTCAGTGGACGATTCTTCGCGCTCTTTTGACCATGTTTGGCTCTTTGTTGACATTTGTGTGGACTTCCGTCCGACGTCCGCCTGTAAGAGGACCTGCCCGACCTCATCATGAGAGAGCTCGACGGGTGCGGGGAGGGCTTGTCAGAGGCCACCTGCCCTCTCCGGGCCCCCCCCCCGCCGCCTCCTGGGAGGGCCCCCCTCTCGTGCTCGCCCCCCCCCCTTTGTGTGCGCCGCGGGCCCCCGCCGTGCGGCCGACAACGGCAGGTCCGCGCCGCCGCGGCGCGGCGGCGACGCTGGCGTGTGCGCTCGGGGTCGAGCGGGCCCGCTTGTGGCCCGCTTGGGGCCCGCTTTGGGCCCTGGGCCCCGCGGGAGACAGTCCACGGCGCCATCCGAACGGTGCGGTCCATAGCCTCTGGGGGCCGAGGACGCAGATCGCTTGAGATGGAAGAGGTCACGCGGTGTCAGAAGTCAGAGTCCATGACGTTGGGGCAGGAACCCGCCGTGGGGCGTTCCACGAATTTGAATCGTCTTCGAGGCAGCGAGGGGCTGAACCCTCGCCCACGGCGGAGGCTAGCAGGACGCCTGCGGAAGCTGGCGGGAGGGATCACAGGGGAGGCTCCGCTTGCGGAAGCGAGCAGAAGTGAGGACAGTCTCCTCCAAGAGAGGTCAACATCATTGCACCCGGAGTTTCCAGAGCCGGCCACATTCGAATCCTACGCTTGCGGATCCCATCAAAGCGGGGGTATCCGTCTTCCCCCGAAATGGTAGACTTTGCCGCATACGTCCTTCGAGTTCTAAGCACCCGCTGTGTTTCCAAAAATCAGACCCGTATAGCTGGGGTCGACATCTAGTTCTTCACGGCTGCTTTCCTCGTCCCCTCCTCCCACCACAGCCGCTTCTCTTATGGCCTCCAAGAAGAGACAGGGCAGAACGCTGGCCCGGGCTTGGCAAGCCCGAATGTCGTGTCGTGTCTCTCTGTCGCCACCCGCCTCTGCCAGAATCGGACCCGTCGGGCCCGCTTCAATAGGAGGCTGGCCCGGGACGGAGAGGGGAGCCCGGGCTCCCTTGTTGCGGGAAGCCGTCGTCGAGAGCCGCAGGGTCTTCCAAGTCCTTGGGCAGTAGGGTGCGGAGGAGGGGGAGGAGCAGGGGGAGGAGGAGGAGCAGGAGGAGGAGGAGGAGGAGCAGGAGGAGGAGGAGGAGGAGGAGGAGGAGGAGGAGGAGGAGGAGGAGGAAGACGGAGAAGACGAGGAGGAGGAGGAAGAGGAGGAGGAGGGAGTCCTAGAATGAGGTCCTGCGGGGGAATTCGTAGCTGTTAGGCTCAGGTGTTCTAGGACGCTGGCAGGCGTCGAGTGCCACATTCGTATCTGCGAACGTCCCGGGTAACATACGTTTGTAACATTTGCAGGGAGCTGGGAGGAGGTGGAAGAAGAGGGAGGATACAGGCGGGAAGATGGAGGAGGAGGAGGAGGAGGCAGTTAAGAGAAGCGAAAGGAGGCGGGATGAGAAACGAGGAGGAGGAGGAGGTGGAGGAGTAGGGATGAGGGGATGATGCGGATGATGATGACGACGACGATGATGATGATGATGATGATGATGATGATGATGATGATGATGATGATGATGATGATGATGATGATGATGATGATGATGATGATGATGATGATGATGACGATGACGATGATGATGATGATGATGATGATGATGATGATGCTGATGATGACGATGACGATGACGATGACGATGATGCTGAGGAGGAGAAGGATGCTGCCGCTGAGGAGGAGGAGCAGGAGGAGGAGGAGGAGTCATAGTCGGAGTCGAAAGCTTCGGCAGTTCGGTGACCTCTGTCTCGCGCATGGGCGTGGCTCGACTGGAACTTCGAGCTTGTAACTGCGGGCCGAGTCGTTCGGCTTGACGGAGGGATGCCTGGGGGACCCACGGCCTGTTGAGCCGCTCGGGCCCGCTTCGACACTGGGCCAACTCCCTCGGAAGGTGTTGATGCTGATGGTGATGGTGGTGATGCTGATGCTGATGCTGATGCTGATGACGATGATGATGCTGATGATGATGCTGATGATGATGATGCTGATGATGATGCTGCTGATGACGATGGTGGTGGTGGTGGTGATGATGAGGAGGAGAGGGAGGAGGAGGAGGAGGGGAAATAGCAGGAGGAGGGGACTCAAACTCTGGCAGACCATACCTGCCGATCTGTTGAGGACTCTTTCGACGTGGGCGCGCTCCCGAGCGAATCGCTGGTGGTGTTCTGCATCGCGACGGCGGGCAAGGGCGAGCCCTGCGGCAACGGGCGCAACTTCTGGGAGACGGGGTCCCCCCCCTCGAAATCCCCTGAGGCCTGCTCCCCCCTTCCCCTCCCCCCCCTCTTCTCCACCATGTCCCCTGCTCTCCCTCTCCCTGCTCCCTCCTCGCCTTCTCCTGCTCCTTCCCTCTCCTCCCCCCTTCCCTTGTCCTTCATCATGCAGTTCCTTCATCATGCTGTGGGCCGCTTCTCCCCCCCCCCCCCACCTCCACGCCCCTCCCCACCCCCTCCCCCCCGCGCACCCTGGTGGCGACCCCCGCAGGAGAAGCTTCAGGCCCGCGCAGACGATCTGAAGGGCAACCTGGGCAGCACGAAGTACTGCGTTTTCGGGCTCGGCGACTCGCACTACTGGGGCAAGGGCACGGAGGACTCCAAGGCTGGATGAGGATGAGGAGGGATGCTGATGGCGATGATGGTGCTGATGATGCTGACTAAGATGTTGATTAGGAGGCTCAAGATGACGACGATGAGGACGATGCTGCTGCTGCTGCTGATGATGACGCTGACGATGATGGTGATGCTGATGATGGTGATGAGGATGATGATGGCGACGATGACGATGACGATGCTGCTGCTGATAATGATGACGCTGATGATGAGGATGATGCTGATGATGCGGATGGTGATGATACTGACGCCGACGACGATGCTGATGCTGATTATGATGATGCTAATGCTGGTGCTGATGCTGATACTGCTGATGCCGATGATGATGCTGCTGCTGGTGATGCTGCTGATGGTGATGAGGATGATGACGAAGCTGATGCTGCTGATAATGCTGATTATGATGAGGGTGACGATGCTGATGCTGATGCTGACGATGACGATGACGATGCTGATGCCAGTGAGGGTCGACTTGGGATTATGACAATCGGGGGGTTAGCAGGTGGGGGACTAGGATGATGAGTTGGGGGCCTGCACCCGGTCAGTCGTTCGTACGGTCTAGCCCAGTCGCTCAGAGGTTCGGTCGTACAACCATACAGGTCGAGATAACAGGTCCACACACATCGTTACGTCGCAATTCGAAGCTGAATTTGCAGACACGCCACCATCTAAGCCGAGCTGTGAGCTTGAACTGGCGCGATTTTGAATACAGCATGGACAGAAACACGTGAACCCCAGGAGCTCGAGATGAGATCCACACCACGCCCCATATGTATTCATCTACGGACTGCCTTCGCGCATAAACTACTTCATAATACAGAATGCGACTTTTCTGCAGAGAGACGTCGTACAGCTTGATGCACCATTGTGATGCCATGCCATGTATGTGTACACATAGCTTGCATACGTGTGTATGGCTATACTTGTACATGTATATGTATATGTATATGTATATATATATACATATGTATACACATTTATTGCATATATATAGTCATAGATAGGTATACACATATATATATATATATATATATATATATATATATATATATTTATGTATGTATGAAGGGCTTCGCCGTCTGCAGCCAGTCCCCTCATATTGCTTGCATGCCCAGGCTTGGTTGGTCGTTTGGCTGATTGGCCTGTTGTCCAAATTGTTTGAGTGGCAGCTGATTTGGGCGGCTGGCTGGCTTGCTGGCGGCGCGTGTTTGTAATACTCAATGGGGAATGGTCGCCTCGGGAGCGCGCTTTTATTGTAATGTGCCAGGGTTCGAGGTTTCGGGAGCGCTCGCACCCAGTTGTTCCAGAGGATTCGTGGCCTCGAGCCCCGAGCCGAACTCTCAGTAAGCCACCGGGGGGGGGGGGGAGGAACGCTCCCCCCCCCAAAAAACAACCATCCCGATACAGAAAATGTTGGCCAGCGTGGATCCCAGCCAGTGTGTTCTGGCATGCTACGTGGAGCAATCTGTGTGGTGCAATCTATGTGCTGGAATTGGTTGTCACAAACGAGTTGACACATGCCATGCCCTGGCAAACATCCCACCCAAGCCGTGATGCGTAGTGTTTTGCATCGTGATGGCGGTGAGGATGACGATGGGAGAAACAATGGAGATCATGGTGCGGAAGATGGTTATGATATTGACGACGCGCGGCTTTGACGTCGCCGCATCACCAGCGACGAGGATGAGGATGAGGACGATGCTGATGCTCGTGATGATGATGCTGATGCTGATGATGAAGATGACGAAGACGAGTACGAAGACGAGGACGGGGACGAGGACGAAGACGATGCCAATGACGATGACGATGATGATGCTGCTGATGATGATGCTGATGATGCTGATGATGTTGATGATGCTGCTGCTGATGACGATGATGGTGATGATGATGATGAGGATGATGATGCTACTGATGATGATTCTGATCATTTTGCACAATGATGATGGCGATGATGGATATACATATTACCATCAGGATGCTGCCACTTAATAAGAATACGGAGGACTGCTGACTCGAGCCGACACAGCTCTTGCAGCAACCACCCGACCTGTGCTAGAACCTGAGCGCGCGGGGCGCGATGATTAGGATGATGGGTGAGACGATGGCTGCGACGACGTACACGCTAAGCGTAGCGGGTACTATCGTGGTGATGATTGTACGGATGATCATGAGTTGAGAATGAGGATGGTGATTCGACTGAGGACGATGTTGCTGCTGATGCCGATGATGATTACGATGAGCGAGTTTGACGTGAAGCATCACCAGCAACACCAGGCCAAGGATGTTACCACTGACGATGATGAGTACGACCATGAGTCTTGGCATGACGACGTTGCTGAGGATGAGAACAGATGAGGATGAGGAAGACGCTAAGAATGATCATGACGGTGAGGATTGATGCGACTATGCCACGCGCTTGTGCATATGATAGATCTGTCCGATCTCTTCTGGTGCGCCCCCAGACTGTGCTAGGGATAACATTCTCTCTGTGCACTGCACCACCCCTCCCTCTCTCTCTCCCTGCATCTTCCCGTCGTCCCCCCGCGAGGTCAATTTCGCAAAGCCGGCGCGTGATTTGGACGCGTTCATGGAGAGCCTTGGAGCGAGCCGCCTGGTGCCGACCGGCTTCGGCGACGACCAGGACGTGGACCAGTATCACACTGGCTTTGCCGAGTGGCGCGAGGGGCTCTACTCCCGCCTGGGCGTCGACAAGGCGGCCGGCGGCGGCGACAGCGACGACGGGCCCGTGAAGTCCGACGAGCAGATCAAGGTGGAGACCAGGCAGCTCCGCGGCTCCATGCGGGAGTCGTTCGACGACAAGACCACGGGGCAGGTCCCCTTCCAGGACACCAAGCTGGTCAAGTCGCACGGCAGCTACCAGCAGGACGACCGCGACCTCCGCGAGGAGCGCTCGAAGTTGGGGCTCGAGAACGCCTTCAGCTTCATGATCCGCATCCGCCTGCCCGCGGGCTACTGCACCGCCGAGCAGTGGCTTGCCATGGACAACATCTGCGGAACCTTCGCCAACGGCACACTGAAGATCACCACCCGGCAGACCTGGCAGGTACACGGCGTCCTGAAGCGCGACATGAAGGCCTGCATGCAGGCTTGGCGGCGCGCGAAAGGGACTGGCGCGAGGGGGTGCGGCCGTCTCAGAAAGCGGGGGGACAGTTTCTGAGAAGGCAGGTGGCTTCGCAGAAGCCCTCCCGCCCTCTCAGAAGCCTCCTTCTCTTCGGAGCATCCGGGCCCTTCCAAGAAGGCCCCTGCTTTCTAAGAGTCCCCCTCCCCGCCTTCTCAGAAGGCCGCCTTCCTCGTGCCACCCCGGTGTGCGCGCCGCCAACAGGCCATGAACCGCGCCTGCATGGACACGGTGGCGGCGTGCGGGGACGTGTGCCGAAACGTCCTGTGCACCAGCGACCCGTCCGTGTGCAGCCGGGAGGTCATGCAGCAGGTGATGAGCGACTGCTACGCTTCCCACGACCACTGCCTGCCGCGCTCGGGGGCGTACCACGAGATCTTCCTCGTACACGGGGCCGAGTACGAGGATCGAATGCAGTCAAAGGCTTTGGAATGAGGACCGCTCTGGGCTCAGGATTGGCCCTGGTCTTTGGGCCGTTCTTTAGATGCCTTGGCAGCGTTGCTCGCCATGGCAGGCCTGTTTCACAGTTTCGCCGTCCTCACGAGCGGGGCGTGACGCTTTGAGGCGTCCGATCGGACCTTTGCTTGCTTGCTTTGCCTGCTTTAGATCCAGGTCGGGGTACACCTTCCTGGCCAGGGCCCGCCGTGGCCAGGCAAGCCCCGCCGTTCCTTCTTCGGCGCTCCTCGTGGTGGCGCGAGGCCTGCAAGGCCAAACTCTGCACGCGCCACAGCTCTCGGAGGCCCGCGCAGATCTCCTGGGCCCGTGCTGGGCTCCCCCCCTGGCGGCGCCCCTGGCGCCGCCCCCCAGCGAGCCTCGCGCGCCAGGGGTCGGGGCCCAGCGCAGGCCCGAGGACTCCGCGCGGCGCCCCAGCGCAGGCCCGAGGGGTCAGTCTTTGTGTGAAGGAGCGGGCTGCCTCTGAGGCGGAGCTTCCCTGTGGAGTGACCCTTTCGCTCGCCCGCAGGGTCCGAGGGGTCACGGCTCTAGCGCTTCGCGACTCCGTTGCCCTCTGCCCTCCCCCTCTCGCACATGCCGCCGTCGGTGAACACGCCGCAGTGCTGCTTGCTGACGCCGTTTGGCCAGGTCCGGGGCCCCCGGTGCGGGCCGCAGGCCCTCGCGCTCCACGCTGTCGCCCCCCCGGCGAGTAGCGCCGACGTCGGGAATCTATGCCCTCGCGCTTCTGTGCGGCTCCAGGCCTCCTGGATGGGGTTCGAGTGCACGCTGTGAATTTCTAATTCTTCGAAAGTTCTTTGATTTTTTTGGGGGCCAAGGTCCTTTCGTTTCTAAGTGTTCTATCCCGGGCCTCTTCCTCTGGCCAATAGGGGGCCAGGAACAGTTGGAAACGAGCACAATTAGAAATGAGCACGATTAGAAATGAACGACGCGCAGACGGGGTCGGAGGATCGTGGCGCATCGCCGATGCATCGGCGATGGCGGCTTGATGCGGATCCCGATTTTCTTCGCGCTGGCGTCGACGATGAACCGCCGACATCGCCGATGCATCGCCAATGCATCGCCCATGCATCGCCGATGCATCGGCGATGCGGCGCGATGCTCCGACCCCGTCTACTCGGACCCCATCTAGGAGGCCTCTAGCCACGTCCTCTTCCAGAGGAGAAGTGCCAGGTGATGGGCAGCACCCCGCTGGAGGAGGAGGCCCTCTACGGCCTGACGTACCTGCCGCGGAAGTACAAGGTGCCGGGTCGGGCGAGAGAGGGGGGGCAGTCGAAGGTTAATGGAAGACCCCACCCTGCCAAGTCGACGAGCGAATTGCATTCTTCAGAAGAGGAAAAGGTACCCATACCGCTACCCTCGCATTGTTTTCCCCTTGTTGGGCCTCCAGGGAGGCCTTCGTCGCCACCCCTGGACTCGCCTCGAAATCCTGGTCAGAACGCATCCCAGGAGAGGTCCGGGGGGAGTAGCGGTATCGGTATCTCTTAGTTTCATTTTTTTTGTTGGTTCCGGTTCTGGGGAGGGCGGTGCGGCCGCAATGCTTGTGGATCTGCGCCCGCTGGATTTGGTCCCAGGTCCTGCAGGTCGTTTTTACGAGAGAAAGTTTCCTGTCCGCCCCCAGGGTACGGTAGGTTCGTGTCGTGTCGACCAGCGGCGAACCCGCTGCCAGCGTTCAAGGCTGAACGCCGCTGGCGACCCAGAATCGGTCGGTGTTGAACGATCGGACGTTTCGGAAACGGCCGATCGTTCAAGGTTGAACGATCCCCGCGGTGTCAGAAACCAGCGCCGGGGTCGGCGCGACACGAGCCTGCCGTGCATGAGCTGCTTCGCTCCCCCCCCTCGGTTTCCTAGATATTCCCCCCCTGTTGTGCGCCCCGGAGAGGTCGCGTTCGCAATCCCTCCGTCCAACGACGTGGATGTCTTCGCGCACTGCTGCGGCTTCATCGCCATCATCGAGGACGGGAAGCTGCTCGGTTACAACGTCACCGTCGGTGGCGGCCTCGGCTTCACGCACAACAACCAGAAGACGCACCCCAGGCTGGCCGAGGTCATCGGCTTCTGCGAGCCGGAGGACTGCAGGTACATCACCGAGTGCGTGATGACGGTCCTCCAAGAACAGTTCTTCTGGCGAGGGACCCAACCATGTGCAGTTGCAAGTGACGCAGGCTATGACCCTTTCCTCATAGGTGGCGCGCCGCGAGCGGGGCAGAGCGGGTGTGGGGCCTTCGGTGGAGCTCCCTGTGGGGCCGCGAAGCGTGTGATGGAGTGTGCCGAAAAGGGGTGCGACGCCCACGTGCGAACGGTGCCCCTGGGGCCTTCGGTGGAGCTCCCCGTGGGGCCCCCGAAACGTGTGAGGGGTGTGCCGGAAGGGGTGCGACGCCCACATGCGAACGGTACGCTTGGGGCCTTCTTTGGAGCTCCCTACGGGGCCCCCGAAACGTACGAGGGGTGTGCCGACATGCTGAAGGGATGAGATGGCAGCGAGAGGTGGGAGTGAGACGCGGGGCGCTGCCTCTTCAAAACGAGGACCCAGCACCACGGCGGTCGGGACCAATAATAGATGCCGTGAACGCTCAGAAGTCCGCACAAATTACTTGGTTTGTGTTCCTCTGGCAGGGGTTGCCAACTGACCGCCTCACCCATCATGGCTGGCCCCTCCTGTGCCCAGAATCGTTGGAGCCCGTTTCTTTACTGCTTGGGGCATGACGGGCGTCACGGCCCCCGCTCCCCCCCCCTCCCCCCCTATGACGTAACGCTCCCCCCCCCAGTGCGCTCCGGGTATTGCCGCCGTGCGCCTTGGGATCCGCGTAGTTATCCGCGTAGGAACCCGCATAGGAGTCTGGTCCGCAGTCGTCCTCGTCGTCGTCGTCGTCGTCGTCGTCGTCGTCGCTCGTGGCTCGTCGCTCATCGTCGTCGCGCGCGCGGACGCGGCTGGGGCCTGTTTTTTATTCCGGGCCGATGACGGCAATCAACTGGGGGGGTGGAAGGGGTTGATGACGTCACGTTTCGCGCCGGCGGCGTCTGGGAATGCTTAGGACTGGCGGAGGACGGGTAGCACCAGCATGTAGGTGGCGATCTGCGCCACGACGCCTGTGTACACCACAGTGCCTGCGTGCACCACAGCGCTTGTGTACACCACACCGTCTATGTACACCGCAGCAGCCGCGTGCAACACAGGGTCAGTTTGTGCCACCGTGCCTGCGGGCACAACAGCGCCTGCGTACACCTCATCAGCCGTGTGCAACACAGCACCAGGGTACACCACAATGCCTGTGTGCATTGCAGTGCCCGTGTGCACCACGGCGCCTGTTTGCACCACAGCAACCGTGTGCAACACAACGCCACTGTTGTATCCAGAATGTTAGAAAGAACCTTTACGACAAAATGGAGCGTTTGTGGGTCCCACACAAAACAATCGAAAGGAATCCTTATGGACAAAGGAGCGCCGCTGGAATCTACGAGTGCTCCCGAGTTCGCCCGCACCACCCTAACTCCTCCCATCTGCGTCCAGGAGGCTCCAGCTAAATTGGCTGTCCGAAAACCACGTGGACCGATTCAATCGACTATTTTGCGGTGCGCGCTGAGATGCGCACGTGCGCTGTAGCACCAACTCGCGCGACAGGGGGTAAGGAGGAGGAGAAAGAGGAGGAAGAGGATGAGGACGATGAGGAGGAGGAGGTGGAGGTAGAGGAGGAGGGAGGAGGGAAGAACGTCGCATTCGATTATTCGCACTTCCCTGGCGTGGCGTTTAGTTGTCCGCAGCAAATCCTCACATACACGCCCCTTCTATCTGTCCTATGCACGCAGGCATTGTGGTGTACACCACCGCTGCGTTGCACGCGGATGTTGTGGTGTAGACAGGCGCTGAGGCGTGGACAGGCGCTGCGGTGCACGCAGGCATTGTGGTGTACACAGGCGTTGTATTGCACATTGTTGCGGCGGTGTACATGTACACCGGCGCTGTAGTGTACGCAAGCATTGTGGTGTACACAGGCGCTGCGTTGCACACGATTGTTGCGGTGTGCGCAGGCGCCGTGGTGTACATGCGCACTGCGGTGCTCGCGAGCGTTGTGGTGTACACAGGCGCAGTGGGGCAGATCGCCACCTACATGCTGCTCGCGTCGTCGTCGTCGTCGTCGTCGTCGTCGTCGTGGTCGTCGTCGTCGTCGTCGTCGTCGTCGTCGTCGTCGTCGTCGTCGTCGTCGTTGTCGTGTCGCTCGTCGCGTCGTGCGCGCGGGCGCGGCTGTGGTGCCGGAGCCACACGGCGGGGGGTGGGCGTTATGTCATACCCCCCTCCCGCCCCGCCCCTCCCCCCCCGCATGACGCCCGTCATCGCCGAACATAAAGAAACGCGCTCTTGTATGCGCACCGATGCCCTGTCACGCCCAGGATGGCGCGGACGCGGATCCTGGGCCCAGGATCGGCCTGGCCAGGATCGGCGAAGTGGCCAGTCGACGCCCCCCGACTCCTGCAGGTCTCGCGCGACTTCGGCGACCGCACCGGCCGCAAGCATGCGCGCGTGAAGTACACGGTGGAGGACTACGGGGCGCAGTGGTACCGCGAGCAGGTGGAGGAGCGGCTCGGGAAGAAGCTCGGCGAGCCCAGGCCGTGCTCCGGGGCCGTGCCATGGTGGTGGTCGTCGTCGTGGTGGTCGTCGTCGCGGTAGTGGTGGTGGTGGGCGTCGTCGTCGTCGTGGTGGTGGTTGCCGTGGTCGTTGTCGCGGCCGAGGGCGACGTGGTCGTGGTGCTGGTCGTCGTGGTGTCGCCGTCGTCGCCGTCGGCTCCGCCGGCCGCCGCCGAGGCCATACAAGTTCGAGCGCAGGGGGGACCTCTTCGACTGGTTCCAGACGAAGGACGACGGGCTCTGGCACTGCGGCTGCCTCGTGACAGGCGGGCGCGTGAAGGGCGACGTCCGCACGGGCCTGCAGAAGATAGCGGCGGAGCTGAAGGGCGTGGGGGGCTTCCGCATGACCTGCAATCAGCAGCTGCTCATTACCGACGTGCCGGCGTCGAAAAAGGCCGCCGTCCAGAAGCTGCTCGACGAGTACAAGATCCCCCACAACGACGAGACCACGGTGAGCGGCCTCAGGCGCAACATGATCTCCTGTGTGGCGCTGCCCACATGCCCCCTCGCGTTCGCGGAGGCCGAGCGGGGCCTTCGGTGGCCTTCGGCGCGGCCTTCGGGGCGGCCTTCGGGGCGGCCGTCGGCGGCCTTCGGGGCGGCCGTCGCGGCGGCCGTCGCGGCGGCCGTCGCGGCGGCCGTCGCGGCGGCCTCGCGGCGGCCTCGCGGCGGCCTCGCGGCGGCCTCGCGGCGGCCTCGCGGCGGCCTCGCGGCGGCCCTCGCCGGCCTCTGCTCGGCGGCCCTCGGCGGCCTTCGGCCTGCGCCGGCGGCCGCCGGTGGGCCCCCCCCTCGCGCGCGCGGAGGCCGAGCGGTACCTGCCCACGCTGGTCGGCCGCCTGGAGACGGTCGTGGAGAAGGTCGGCCTGCGCGACCGGGACATCTCCATCCGCATGACCGGCTGCCCGAACTCGTGCGGGCGGCCGTCCATGGCGGAGATCGGCTTCATCGGCAAGGTGCAGCGCTCGGCAGCGCTCGGGTGGCGCCGTCGGCGTCGTTCCTGGATGCTTCTGGGGCGCTTCTGGTGGCTGGCCTCGTCGCCACGGCTGGGAGAGGAGCTCCCAACGGCCTCGGTCAACTAGAAGCCTCGGCCCATCTTTCCAAGTCTCGAGGTCAAGTCGGGAAGCGGACAAACGGTTACGTACAGTGATTACATCATTCCCCAAATAGTGCTTGCACTTAGGGATTATTGCTGCATATATTCTCCTTCCTGAAAATGCAATCGACTCTACCCTTCCCGGGATTATCCCCTCCTTGTCGTATTGCAATTTACATATGATTCTGCCCCAGCGTCCATACCATCCCAGCCGAGCCGGTATCGCCCCCCCGCCATCCTCTGCAAAATGATTATGCGCGCGCACTCTTTTTTTCAAATCAGCAGTTTTCAATAATCCCTTGCAAACAGTGGGACGAAGTGCGCACGCGCGCGTCTTCGCGCGCGCATGCCGAAATCCTTCAAAAACCTTCGGTTTCGTAAGGATTTCAAAGTCGAGTGCCAAAACACATGTAAAAACACACACGGTTTCGCAACACGGATTTCCAAACAAAAAGTTGTGCGTGCGTTCTTGCGAATTCTGAAGAAAGCCATCGGTGAAAATGCTACCAAACGGGCTTCGCGCGCGCATGTCGAGATCGTTCGAACGCCCTTGCGCGCGTGCCGTCGCGAGAACCCTTTCTGCAACACATGAGACGAAGTGCACGCGCGCGCGCGTCGTCGCGCGCGCATGCCGAAATCAGTCAATCACCTCCGGTTTCGTAGCGATATCAAAGCCGAGTGTCCAAATCACACACAAGAAACACATGGTTTCGCAGCATCAGTGTTCAAAACAGCGTGCGCTCGCGCTCTTGCGAATTCTTGAGGAAAGCCATGCGTTTTTCAACATTGTCATGGAATTCTGCCAAAAGTGCTTCCCGCGCCGCGTGCCGACATCATTCGCACGCCCTTGCGCGCGTGCTGGGGGGGGCACGATCCGTGCCAAATACTACCATGCGGGTCACTCTCGCGCGTCGGCCGCGCGCGCATGTCGAACTCTTTCCAAAAAAACCTTCAACACCGACGCGAGGACGCCGTCATCGTCGCCGGCGTGATCAGCATCTTCGCCCGCACTGGCCGCGCCTTCGTCGTTGTCTCAACATCGCCACCAGCATCGCTACTATCATCATCGTGTCTACCGTTGTCGGCGTTGCCATGATGCCGCGCCCGCCCAAATCGCCGACTCGCAGTGAAGTGCTCGATGGATGTGCTCAGCGGTCAGCGCCACCGCGGCCGCGCCGGTCGCACCAAACTAGCTGGCCGCTGCGCGCGCGTGTTCGGGTTGGCGCGGCCGCAAAAATGCACCAGCCAACGCCAAGCATGCATCGCAATCGCCACCGCATGGGTTCTGCAAGCCGAGTTGCGGCTGGGTGGGTGGGATGTTTGCAAGAGCGTGGGATGTGCCAACTCGCCTGTGAACATCAATTGCACCGCATATGCTGCACCATGCGTATTGTACATATATTGCGCACCGTACGTTGCACCACACACATTGCCCCACGACGATTGCACCACGTCGATTGCACAACGTAGATTTTTCGCACCGCATAGAATGCAATACGTCGATGGCACCACATATGTTGCGCACAATACAGATTGCATCACGCAGTCGCACCACATTTATTGCGCACCACAAAAAGTAGCACCACATGGTCTGCCCCACGAAAGTCTTACAGCATGTATGGCACAACCCGTGCACACATATATGGTCCAGGGCTTGGCCCCCCCCCCCCGCAATGCTGATGCCATTGGGCCCCCGCCCCCCCGCGCGATGGTCCCCCCCGCCCCCCCCCTGTGGGCGTGGCGTGGTGCTGCGCTGCGGTGCCCCCTTCCCCCCCCTGTGGATGTGGTGTGGTGCTGTGGTGGTTCAGAGGTGGGCGTGGCGTGATGCTGCGCTGCGGTGCCCCCCCCTCCCCCCCCTTTGTGGATGTCATCGTCGTCATCGTCGTCGTCGCCACCGCCGCCGCCGGCGTCGTCGCCGCCGCAGCCGTCGTCGTCGTCGTGGTCGTCGTCGTCGTCGTCGTCGTCGCCGTCGTCGTAGTCGTCGCCGTCGCCGTCGCCGTCGTCGTCGTCGTCGTCGTCGTCGTCGTCGTCGTCGTCGTCGTCGTCGTCGTTTCTGGGACCATACCATCTGGTGGGGAGGAGGGGGGGGGGTCCGAGGAATCCTGGGACCATACCATCTGGGGGGGGGGCCCGTGGGCCCGGAGCCCGGGATCATATATATATATATATATATATATAAAAATGTATGTATGTATGCATGCATGCATGCATGCATGCATGCATATACGTACGTATGTATGCATGCATGTATGTATGTATGTTTGTATATATATATATGTATATGTATGTTTGTATGTGTGTATGCATGTATGTATGTGTGTGTATATATGCATGTATGTATGCATGCATGTATGTATGTATGTGTGTGTATGCATGCATGTATGTATGTATGCGTGTATGTATGTATGTATGTATGTATGTATGCATGTATGCATGCATGCATGTCTGTCTGTCTGTCTGTATGTCTGTATGCATTTATGTATGTATGTATGTATGTATGTATGTATCTATGTATGTATGTATGTATGTATGTATGTATGTATGTATGTATGTATGTATGTATGTATGTACTGCGTGCATGTATGTGTATGTATGTGTATGTGTATGTATGTGTATGTGCATGTGTATGTGTATGTGTATGTGTATGGGTATGTGTATGTGTATGTGCATGTGTATGTGCATGTGCATGTGCATGTGCATGTGCATGTTTATGTGTATGTGTATGTGTATGTGTATGTGTATGTGCATGTGCATGTGCATGTGTATGTGTATGTGTATGTGTATGTGTATGTGTATGTATATGTGTATATATATGTGTATATATAAACACACATATATACACATATATATATATATTGCACAGTATATGTTGCGCGGCATATATGGCACCACGTATGTTGCACCACATAGATTGCTCCACAGAGATGACACACCATATATGGCCAACAACGTTTTTTTTTGGCACACGCTGGCTAGCACCCTTCTGTGCTGAAAATTGCAGCTCTGCTGATGCACCGACCTCGGCCGGGCGCGGGCGGCTCGACAAGAGCCGGCCTGGTCGCCCCCCCCCGGGCATGGGGGTGTCGGGGGTGTGCCGGGGGGGCCTGCGGCGCTCGGTGGCGCACGGAGGCGGTGGGGGGGGGGGATCGGGGCGGGGGGCGGGGGCGGCCCTCCTGGGGGCAGGGCGGGTTTCCGCATTCCGCGAGAGGGGGGGGGGGGGCGGGGGGCGGGTGGCTCTCCTGGGGGCAGGGCGGCCTCTTGCCTTCCCGCGAGGCGGGGGCGGGGGCGGGGCGGGGGGAAGGGGGGGGGGGCCTTCTGGGCAGGGCGGCCTCCTGTCTTCCGCGAGGCCTGCCTGGAGGCCCTTCCGGGCGCTTCCGAGAGGCCCCTCCCCGGTGCTGCCTCCACAGGTGGCCCTCCCACCCTCGGAGGAAGGGGGGCAGGAGGAGGCAGGCGGAAGGAGGCAGTAGGGTGGAGGAGGCAGGAAAAATAGTCGAGGAGGAGTAGGCGAGTAGGAGGGTATGGAGGAGGCAGGAGGCAGGAGGCAGGAGCAGGAGAACATAGAAGGTGTCAAGAGGAGGTGGCGGGAGGAGACAGGAGGGAGCAGCACGACCCGCCTCCCCCTCCTCCCTTTCGCTTTCCCCCTTCCCATCTCTTCCTCCTTGTCGCTCCTCGTTCATGCCGCCTGCCCTTACGTTTTGTTCTGTCTCTTCGTCATCCTACTCCCGCCTCCTTTTCTTCCGCACTGGACCTCCTCCACTGAGGCCCCAGGGACTTACAACATGTACCTTGGCGGTGCGTTCGACGGATCGCGCCTGGCCACGCTGTACAAGGAGTCGGTCACGGAGGACCAGATTGTCGCGCTGCTCACGCCGATATTCGGGGCATACGCCAAGGAGCGCGCAAAGGGAGAGACCTTCGGCGACTTCATCATCCGCAAGGGCATCGTGAAGGCTATGCACGCTGGGCGCCTGTGGTGGTCGCTGCCTGAAGTCTGAGCTGTCTCGTACAGGCAGCGTGGTCGGCACGAGGCTCTGTAGTTGTCGCGCCGTTGAGCGTCTGCCCTCGTCGCCCTCGTTCGGGCTGAGGGCCGCGCCGGCACAAGCGCGCATGTTCCGCGGCAGTGTGCCTTCCCACCCTTTGTGCCCGCCCTGCCTCTCCCGCGGTCCGTGCGTCCTCCTCCGGGCACGGGGAGCGGGGAAGCTTGCCCACCCCCCCTCGTCCTGCTGCCCCCTTTGCTCTGCCCACCCTCAGCCTCTGCCGTCCTCCTCCTCAGGGGGCACCAGCTATACACCAACACCGATCCTGGCCCAGGATCGCCCTGGGCCCAGGATCGGGGTATATGCCTTCTTGCCCAAGGCAGGAGGGCGCATGCACCGATCCCGGGCCCAGGGTGGTCCTGGCCAGGATCGGTGTTGGTGCATAGCTGGTGCCGTCCTGCCTCCCCTCGCCCCACCTTAGGGGGGCACATGCGAACCCTACCCCTACCCCCCACGATTTCTGAGGGGGAGGGTGGGGTTCACTTTGCTCGGGAGCTCCCGAACGAATTGAACCCCACAATCGTGGGGGGTAGGGGTAGGGTTCGCATGTGGCCCCCTACACCTGCTCCTGCACCTCTTCCCGGGGGGGCGGGGGCGGGGGAGCGGGGAGGCACCGCGCGGCGCCTCCGAGCGATTTTTCCCGTCGTGCACGGCCAGGCGTGGGGCTCGAGAGCGGGAGGGCTCCGAGCGGCACGGGCAGCGCAGATGTCAGGCCCGCCTCCTGCCGTGTTGGCCCCTGATTTTGGCAGGGCGGAGGAGGAGGAGGAGGAGGGTGAGGGTGAGGGTGAGGGTGAGGGAGGGAGGGAGGGAGGGCTTGAGGGTGAGGAGGGAGGTGAGGGAGGGAGGAAGAGGGTGAGGAGGAGGAGGGAGGGAGGGAGGGAGGAGGGCGACGGAGGAGGAGGAGGGAGGGAGGGAGGGCTTGAGGGTTGAGGGTGATGAGGAGGGAGGGAGGGAGGGCTTGATCTCTGTTCCGTCTCTCTCCGTCGAGGCGTAGATTTTGGTCGCGTCCCTCGTGGGGCGATTCCGTCGCCCTGCGAGGAGTAACAGGATTTGTCCCTGAGGCGCGTACCCGGGTGGCAGCTCATTGTAGATCATGGCGGGGAGGAGGAGAGCCGAGAGAAGAACGAGGTGGACGAGGAGAAGAGGCTCTTCGAGACAGTGTCTGAGTTGCCAAGAACAGCGGATCATCCGACGCTGCATATGGTGACGTCGGCCAATACCCACAACATGATCAAGTTATCGCATGCAGGGAGGGTGAGGGATTGTCAATCGACACGTGCCTCTCTCGTCTCATTGTTCCACCTCGCAAAGCTCCTCTCTGCATTCTCCTTGCTCTCATCCTTCTCTCTATCACCCTCGTTTATCTTGTCATTATCCCTCTTCCTTCTCTTCCTCCTCCATGCCATATGGTCCTTTGATCCTTGCCGCTCTCCTCCTCGCCTGTCTTCGTGCTCTATGTTTCGCTTGCTCGCCCGACTGTGCGGCTCTCTGCCTGCTCGCGTGCCCGTGCGCCTGCGGGAGCCGCTGCAGTACCCCCCCCTGCGGGAGACGGCACTCCCTGCGGGAGGCCATGCCGGGCAGCGCCCCCGTGCGGGAGTCGCCGCCATCCTCCCTGCCCCACCCAGCCCAGCCCCAGCGCATGCCCGCTCGGCATCGCTCGGACGTGTGCAGTTTTCCTTCGGCGAGGACCATCGAGGAGCATCCTGGATCGTTTGGCGAAAAAGCCGCGCACGAAACCGAAAAAGGCACGGGAAATGGACGTCCGGCCCGGGGTTGCCTGGGGGTGCGCACCGCCTTCCCGTCTGCCCGCGTGCTCGCGCGCCGCCCCTCGCCCGCCCGCCCGCGCCTCCCGCCCGCCGCTGCTCCCGCCTCGCCTCTGCCTGCCTGGCTTGTGTCGCGTGCTCGCCTGCCTGCCTGCTCGCTCCCTCCCGCCTGCCCGCCCCTCGCCCGCCCGCCCGCCGGCGTGCTGGCCCGTCTGCCCGCCCGCCCGCCCACCCGCGAGCTCGCTCGCTCCAGCTTGCCTGCCTGCCTGCCTGCTCGCTCGCTCGCGGTTGCTTCCCCGCGCCCGCGTCCCTGCCCGGCCTCTCGGTCGCACGCGCGATCGGCTGCCTGCGTGCCTGCCTGGCCGCCACCCGCCTGGCGGGGGTCGCGCAGGCGGGTGTCGAAGGTCCGTGTTCCTCGTGCTCCTCCACCTCACTCCTCACCCCTCCGCGGTATCCCTACGGGCCTGGGGGCCGCACGTTGGCGGGGGGGTCGCCGGCGAGGAAGTCAAGCAAAGAGCGTCGAGCCAAGAGGTGTCGCCCTGACCGGCAGAGAAGTGGGAGGAGCACGCGCTGCAGAGGCCTTGCGGCGGGTTCCGCCGACCACGGAAGGAGAGCTGAGAGGGCGCGAGAGGCGGAGGTCGAAGAGGGAACATCGGCATCCAGTACATTTTCGGAGGTCCGCGCGGCTTCCTCACATCGGCGCTGGATCCCCCTGGCGGCGCCTCTGGCGCCGCCCGTGCTGCGCGTTCCCTGCGCCATGGAGAGCCCAGACATCCGACGTCTCGATTTTTTCGAGACGCGGGCCCCCGACCTCCCGACCACTTCCCTGGGACCGGTTTTTCATCCCATGTCGTTTTTTGACGGTCCCGAGGCCCGGCGAGGGCCCCGAGAGGCCGAAAACTTCGACAAACCTCCGTCTCGATTTTTTCGAGACGCCCGATGTCTGGGAGGGGGGGTCAGCACCGACCCAACAGATCCGCGAGGGCCTCCGAACGTTTGTGGCCATGCGGGGCGCTGGCCGACGCCTCGGGGAGATGCCGCGGTCGGGCGCGACTGGCGCGAGCGGCGAGGCCGCGGAGGCTCCGGCCGAGGCAGCGGACGACGACGACGACGACGACGACGACGACGACGACGACGACGACGACGACGACGACGACGACGACGACGACGACGACGACGA